CCCCAAAACCCCAAAACCCCAAAACCCCAAAACCCCGAGCAAGAACCAGCATTGAATAACTATCTTAATCTTCTTCATCATTTCCGCCATCTTGATAATTGTTATCAAGTTCCTTCATGGATGTATCTGCATTCCGCCTCTCTGTTAAAATATGAGCAGTACTATTGTTTTGATGTACTAGAAAAGGAGGATCTTCATATGGCTCTCTCTTTGAAAGAGAATTATTTATGTTAGACCTATAGATATGAAACAACTTTACCTATTTATAGCATTCCATTGATTCTCGTTGTGATCGGGAACAAGAGTAGGCATTGGATTCTGTCCTTCAGTATTTCTTGCAGAGACATGAGTAGCAACTCCAGCATAGTGATTAAAAGCATCACTAATATAACTGAAGTTATGTAAAGGGAAACTATTCTGACCCCCACCGACAGGATTTCCATAAAGGGCATAGTTCGAGATCCGATTAGCTACATTTTGTGAATCGGGAGATTCAAACATTGCCTTTCTCATTCGAGTGAAGACGTTTGAAGGTTCTGGCTGATCTATTTGTCTGGCACAATTTTCAGCATCTTCATTTTCTCTGTTTGACTCTCCTCCATCTGATTTATCGGCTGCAGGATTTGCTCTATTGTAATCAAACAGAAATTTATGTTTTTCCTTATGATATCTTAACTGAGAGTCCTTTCTGTAATCACAAATAGACCTTATTAAGCAATCAGGAATTGGGAATGCAAAATAAATCAGAGCTAGAATTGATACCACTATAAAACGCCAGTAATTGATTCCAAATAAATATGAGTTACTAAAGAAGATAGATCACCCAAAGATTGCCACAAGGACAGGCATTACCCCAATGAAGAACTGAGATAGGGATGGACCGATTTCGGGAGGTAGCTTGTGTCTATTGAGTAGTAGATATTTCTCGATAAAGTACTGAAATAATGCACCAAATATTGCGATCACTGCTACAATAGGGAATACATATCAGTACATGAGGACTAAACACAAAAGTAACATTAAGTTGGAGTGTTGTAACGCAATGTCTACTTGTGGACCTTCAAACAAATCGTTAACCTGTCTTTGAGTCAACAAGGAATCAGTTTCTTTCTTCCTCTCAACTCAAGCCAGCCACTTCTTGTAAAAGTACTTAGGATCTCACAGATACATCAGAGGATTAAAGAAACAAACAGATAAGGTGTTTGATACAACATCAACTACAAGTCCATTCGAATGGAACCAGTTATCTTTACCAAAGTTCACCAGCAATGGAGATATCCCAGTGTTGATAAGACTAGCAATAGCTAGCTTTTGAGCGACCGATAAGTTATAGCTTGTGTGGGTATTGTGCCTTTCCTTAACAGAAATCTTCCTAATAATAAATCAAAGTACCTGATTCGTAAAAGCAACACAAAGCATGGTTATCAAAGTTACTATAAATACCCAAGGATTTGTTTGTTCAGTCCCAGAAACCTGATCTCTCAGTTTATTCAAAAGGTAGTTAATACCTCCAGCGATGAGTAGGCAGAATGCCGTGATGGCATAAGTCTTTATGGCTTTAGTGACCTTAAGTCTTTTTCTAGTCGAGAGGTTTTCCCAGATAAGGTCGTTTGACTCAGGTGGGCTTTCAATAAAGATTCTCCTGTCATCCAAAATTCATTCCTTTTGAGCAACACGTTTCAAACTGTTGAATAACTTGTGAGCAATGTACAGTGCAAACCTCCCGATCCAAGTAATCTTGAAGTTCTTTGTAATGATTTCAACATCATCAATCTTGTCGAACATGATAATAGCTGTTCCACAAAACTTGAGGTCTTCTTCCAATTCCTCCTTTTCTCTTTCAAGTTTTTCAATTTCTTCTTCAATATTTTTGATTTCTTTGTTTATTTCACCTACATAATTAGCTCCTCCGCTTGTCAACCAACTGTATTGGAACAGAGACTTACCGTATTTCTTGGTAGTTATTCATAGCCACTTCTTAGGTGGAGGATATACCTCCCTTTGGTCTTCATTCTCTCCACTGAGCTTGAGAAGTTTTTTGTTGTATAACTCAAAGGCTCTTTTTCTATTCTTAAGTTTATCAATCCTCTTGGTAATCTTGACAGGATCTTTGATGTCTTTACACATTTCGATATAGACTATTTCATAGTGGCTGTTTTGCTTCATTAGCCAGTTTTTAATCTGATCCTTTGATGTATCTTTGGTCAGATTCGTAGCGATTACTCCAAAATCAGAGGCTTTAGTATGATTCTTTGATTTCTTCTTGATGGTTTGGTTTTGATAAAGCTTGTAACCAATAATGCCAACAGAGATTAGCAATATTAAGAACAGATATAGGTTTGAGATACTTCCAATATTGTCCTTGTCTGAGCTACTAGGATATTTACCGAATTCTCCAAGACTGATCCTTGAGAGGAAAGATACATCTTTGGCATTGTTAAAATCACCAGCAGAACCTTCACTTTGAAGAATGAGGCGCAAACTAAAAGTTGATCCCATCACACCTAGTACAAAGTAAATTACTAAATGAAACATTTTGAGTCTATAGAGCATTCCAAATCCTATCCCTATGGCTTCAAGCTCTGAAGACTTCGCTCAAACAGAAAACTTTTGAGCTACTTCCTTAGTAGGTAAGTTGCATCAGCTGCAGAAATGTGCAGAATTGTTGCTCTGTTCAAATATTTTCACTTTATTGATTCGTCTGATCCTACATGATTCTCTATGCTTCTCAGCAATATCAAAATCAGGAGGAATCTTATCTAAAAAGTGCTCCTCTTCTGGCTGTAGATCCTCTACATTATTTTCATTGCCACGGTTAGTCTCTCCTGACATTGATTCTTCTTGGACTCTTACACCATCAGAAATACTTAGGGAGTCTTTTTCAGGGCTATGATTCCTTGGAAGATCCTCCAAGACTTCACTTACTGCATCCATAAACAAATTATTACTTAATTTTAAACTCTAAACTTATAAGCCTCAAGTCGTGTTTGTATTGGGGTTTTGGGGTTTTGGGGTTTTGGGGTTTTGGGG